GAAGAGTTTGTATAGGATTGGTGTCAGTTCTTCCCTGCATGCTTGGTATAATTGTCCTGTGAAACTATCAGGCCCGGGAGATTTTTGTGTGTGTTGATAATCCCTTGATAACCTTGTCTATTCTTCTATTGCTATGGATCTTTTGAGATTCTTGACATTCATTGGGGATAGTTTTGGGAGGACAAGTATTTGTCCATGTCTTCCAAGTTGTTGAATTCATTACAGTATGGGCTTTCATAGTACTGTGTAATTATCCCTTATATTTCGTTAAGGTCTGTTGTAATGTCCCCTTTTTCATCTTTTTGTTTCCATGAATGAAGCGGGAGGTGAAAGGACAGTGGTTTGACAATGTAGATAGGTGAAGAAAAGACAAGGGAGGTGCTGTCAGCCAGCCAAACATGAATTTGAAAGATGTTTTCAAGAATGGAATTGCACATTTGACAAATGTATTAAGTGTAATGAAGAGTACTTTGAAAATGATAAGGTTGTTTTTAAAAATTTAAATACATAGCTTTGAAAAAATAATGTTTTGTTTGGCTACCCCCTCATATAGTACACATAAAATTCATTTGAATCTATTATTTAAAAAAATAAAAAACCTCAAGACAATCAAAATAGTAATTAAAACAACATACAAATATAGAATCATCATATGTCATAATTGATCATGTTTATTAAATTTATCAATATAGAAATAGGACCAGGCAAGTTTAGAACTATAGTTTTACAACAAAATTTAAAATTTATGTGTTTAACAATACACATTACATAAAATACAATACTAATATAACATAATTAAGTAGACTTAAACTAAAGTCATATTTTTAAGAAGTTATTCAATCAATTCTGGTTCCATTTTAAGGTTGGAAAATAAATAAATAGAGGTATGAGTTTAAAACATAATTATATGCCATATACCTTCCCAATTTGGTAAAAGAAAAAATATGGATGAAAATAGATATATTCTTGAGATGAAAAAATTAATAAGAACAAAATATAAGATGACAACTTAAGACAAAAGTGCTCTGATAACAATGATCAATGAGGTTAAAAAAATCTCATCATTCAAATACTTTATGATATGGAAAATCTCAAATTAAGAGTATTATCATTACATACCTGTCATCATTAGCCACACACATAGAGATTATATACTGAAAAGAAACAAAAATATTGTGTCTACTTGGAAATTTTTAATAACATCTGCTTAATTACTTTAAAGGCAAATAATAAACAAACTTAAAAAATTAAAAAACAAGAAAATAAACAGTGAGAATGCTACTTTCAAGGCTTATGGTTTGTGAATAAAGCTTTGATTAGAGGAAAATGCAGACTTTAATTTTATTTGCTGACCAAACACAAAAGAATGACAAAATGAATGAATTACCATACTCATAAAATTTTTTTAAATGTACAATATATTAAACCCAAACAAAGATCATGAAAGAAAATAATCAAGATAAAAG